AAGAAAGAAAGAAAGAAAGAAAGAAAGAAAGAAAGAAAGAAAGAAAGCTTTTGGGAAATATTAACAGCTCATGAACTTTAGTTGATGAGCGGGTATCAAATCCTGTGTGAACAAAGAAACTAGACTTCTTCAAATACATTACAGCCTACCTATATTTAAACCAACATCCACTACTTTTATTATTGGCACTCTTCATCTGATTGTAACCTCAACATTTAATTAAGTCATCCTTGGTATGAGAGAATAGACTGAGTCTAAACTTAGTGTTTTTCCTCACTGTGAGGGAAAGAGAAGGAAAGAGTACAAGGGAAGTCCGGTTGCCTGTCTTCCTCTCTTTTCTGAGCCACAATGCTTTTTTCAAACACAACTCCTTTCTGACTATGGAGAGAACTTACTACTAGCCTTCTTCCTTCACTCCATGTAGCCCATTGAGGTTAAAGAGCTTCTGAAAGCTGCTTGTATTTCTGAATTTCTGTCCCTTCTTCACTTCTAATCTCTGACATCAGTAGCATGTCAGGAGTTCCTTGATCAAAAATCACTTTATTCCATTCAAAATATAATGACTAGCATGACTAGCTTTTTAAAAGGCTGAGGTGAATACATCTGAGGTCTGACTACCAGTAACTTTGTAGCTTCCATTTTCCATTATTGAAAAATATGAGGTAGATATCAACAACACATCTGACCATTAAATGAATACTGGAGACATTTATTTATTCATGATAGCCTTAGAATCAATCAAAGTAGCTAGATAGCTACCTATCATTTTATCTTTAAATAGGGTTATTAGGAGCATGATTTATATCATCTGTAAACTAGATCAGTTTCTCAATCTGGCTTCTACAGTATACGTTTGGCTGGATATAGACAGTGGTGGATGCAGCCGGTTTGCACTGGTTCATGTGAACCGTTGATTAAATTATCCACCCCCGGTATCAAAGTGGATCCTGGGCACTGCGCTACAATGGAGAAATGGACAACAGAGTCGCCGGAGTGAGGGAAGGAGAAGGCCACTTTTCCTCTTTCTTCTTCCTGCTCCTCCTCCTTCCCTCCTTCCAGCTGGTCCATATCCCATTTCTTCATTGAGTGCAGTGCCCAGGATCCACTTTGAAACTGGGGTGAGTGCGTAATTTAACAACCAGTTCACCCAGGGTCAGATTGGGCCATGCCTCCCATGACAGCCAACCTGACCCTGGGCAAACCGCTTGTTAAATCATTTGAATCCCACCACTGGCTATGGAGAGTGATTAATGGCTGGGGGGGGGGGGGGGGGGGGGGAGAAGAATGAAGTATCTTCTCTAGAAGAGACCAGGGAAACCTTTACCTTTTAAAATATTAAGTATTTAATTTAATAAATACATATTATAACAGAAATTTTTTGATATGGAAGATAGTACTAACATCCCATTGCTTAGAGGCCACAAGTAACTTTGAAACTTTTTTTTTGGGGGGGGGTAAGATTCTGGAAGCCCAAATATGTGGGGATTTTGCAGATATTTTCAAGTGATTAAAAAAAAAGACAGAGATAGGAGTGTAATGGGTTTTACAGCTCCATTAAAATACAGTAACTTCATTAAATAAACTGGGGGAAAGTCTCAAACGTTCTGTATCCAATGTCATTGAACTATTCATTTATCTTGTAGTTGTCTAAACATGAATTTTTAAAAGTAACTACCCCTGACAACTACAAATATTTTGCCTTTATGGTATCAAATTAGGCATAACAAACACAGGTCACTAAATTAAAATAATAACAATTCAGCTGAGATGCTTCTATTGGCGCCAGTGTTGTCATGACTAGGGGAATAAACATTCCATTTATTCAAATAAAAGCACAATCAGAGATTTTGTTAAATCCAGTGAGATTTAGCCTGTGAAACCATGAGAAGAGCAAATTATTTTGGGGACAAGAAACTATATGTACAAGTTTCACCTTCATTATAAGATGCTGAAGATACTGAAAAAGGAAGTAATTAAAATATAGCAAAAGCAGACAGACTTACAGTCAAACATAGCAAAGCAAAGCTTTTCAATGAAAAAAAGCATACATGCATCAGATGCAAATTGTGATTATGGTTAGAGGGTTGGCAGGCATTGGACAGCTGACTTTTAAGGCTTTTCAAAGATCCTTTGAAATCCCATGCTAGGGATCCCCATTTTTGTGGAAAGGAGGAAAAAAGGTCCAATTGGAAGTTTAAGATCATTCCATGGAGGTCTCACACATTGGCTCCTTACCTACTCACAAAATACCCTCAACAGCACCCAGGTCACCTTTTTTCTAACCAGGTAAGAAGAAGTATAGATTGCAGACCCATTTTATTTTGCAAGATAAATTATTCCTTATGTGTAAAATGTAAGGACCCTCTTGGAAATAAAGATGATTCTGCAGCCTAATATTTTGCTTTGTGGAATACTGGCTTCCTGTTTAAAATATTTACCAATGCATATATTTTCCATTTTAAAATTCAAGCAAACATTTGTTTGATAGGTACAAGTGTGGGTGTGGGTGGGTGTCCACAGGAAAATGAGTGCTTGTGAACACTAGGAACTCCAGACCTACATTTTTGGGTAGAAAAACAAAACAAAAGTTCAATTCATACCTGATAATCAAAATAGATAAACTTATAGTCCATGAAACAATGTTGGAATATAAGTTTCACCCTCCTTGTCTACCAATGATAGTTATATAAGATGGTAGGAAATTGCCAATATCCAACAACAATTAGACGGCTGCAAAGTATCCCATTGCCGCCACATAGGAAAACTCTCATAGTATAAGGTGAAGATAACAATCACTCTGCATTGTAATTCATTATCCATTGTAAAACATTCAGCACAAAATTTTATTTAGTTTACCACTCTTGTAAATTTTTAGGAGAGTGGCTAATCTTCACCAGTACCTCCATAAGCATCAACCTGGGTGTATCACAGAGAACAAACTTACTCAAAGTTCAGAAGAAGTACTTTGAAGATTGGAGCATTTACAAAACCTCACACAAGATGGACTGAAATATTGGGTCTTATCTTTGCTACCAATCAATTTAAAAGTGAACCCATGGCCCTTTCTGGCAATACCAATGCTGTACATTTCAGAAAATAGAGTCAATAATGCCCTGGAAGATAGACTCCATAATGACATACCATCATTATTAGGACTTTGTGTGGACAAGAAAAAGATGACTGGTACTATACCACCTTACTAGGACCATTCCTTTTCAAAGCACAGAATAAATGGCCTGTAAGCACTCCAATGAGCCACAGTCTCACTTTTAAACTGAACAAAGGAGAGAGGAGAAAGCCCTTTGACCATCTAATAGTCCAATTGTAACTTCAAATACCACAAGAAAATAATTTCTCTTTCTCCGCTCCATGAAAGTTTCTGAATTTACCTCTCCCACCATATGTATATTTATCTTCTCCTTCTGTTTATTGCCAGTTTAATGTAGAATAACTGACATAACAATAGTGTAGTTTAGAGAACAATGACTGCTAGAATAAACAAGTGCTGAGACCATGAACAGGAAAAATGTCTGAAGACTGAGTAATAAAAAAAACTGACGATCTTGCATATATTTGATTGAAATGTCAGATGCCCTATTAATGATGCTTCGTCTGCAGCCTATGATTCATTAACGCATGCTGTGATAGCCTTTTTCTGAATGCAATGGGGCAATAATCTGCATACAATAACAATGACTTTTTTTTCCCCCAAAGTCTTTCATTAAGGAAAAAGGAGAGAAAGTCAATAGCTAACTTTTTTTTTTTTTTTACTTTTGGAAGAAGAAATATCTTGGTGTTTGGAGGTACACAAATCTGTAGCATTCATTTAAGGAAAATAACATGATTGTATAATTTAAAAAAAGAAGAAGGAACACATTGTTAAGCACTATCATCCCACAGAACATCTGACAGCAATTCCTATGGCTCTTGCAGAACAGTTAGTATCCAAATTAAGGATAAGAGTACTCAGTCACTGCTTAGGAGGTGTTGAAATGACTTGGGGTTATGCCAGAAACTGTCCTCGGTACTCTTCATGTCAGGACATTTTCAGAAGCAGTAACAAGCTGATGTTGTTGACTCAAATTTCTCAACACTCAAACAGTTTTCTGATTTAACCATTAGATCAGGACATCCGCCCAGCTTTCTCCAATCTGACACTTTCTAGCAACTTCCATGATCCACAGCCTGTGTGGTGGATGAGTGGCAATTCTGGAAATGCTATTCCCAAATCACACAGAGTGCCACAGGTTAGGATAGTTAGATTAGCTCTTGTTTCATAAAGAATCTTCAAAAAGAGGAGAAGACCATACATGGGACATTACAGGTCTGCTGACCTTACCCAATCTAATCTAATTGGTTTAATGGCCAATTTTAATTTTAATTTTCCTCCCCATTAAGTATCAGTTTCACGGGGTTGCAGAGTTGTTTTGACTCAACAACATTTAGAAAGTCAAAAATTAAAGAACTTTAAGTAAACTGGTGGCAATTGTATCTAAGCATGAGGTCATACTGCTGTTTGGTGTTTGATCATTTCTTTTAAAATTACTGTTACAATGGCTTTTTTATTTTCTTAGGCAAGAAGACAGCCCAAAGGGAGGCTCCACTAACCACACCTCAAAGACATAATACCCACACAGCATTTAAAGCTATTCTATTAAGGAGGCCTGGTGGTATAGCGATTAAGTGCAAATTCTGCCCACAGTCTAGAGTTTTATCCTGATGGGGCTCAAGGTTGATTCATCCTTCCATCCTTCCAAGGTTAGTTAAAATGAGGACCCAAATTGTTGGGTCAAATAATGCTTGCACTTGCAAACTGCCCAGAGAGTGCAATGTGGCGGTATATAACTCTAAATGCTATTGCTATTCTGAGAACTAGAAGCTACTTTATGGCATTTTGCCAGTGGTTGAGAATGCCACTCAGAGAACATTTCAAATGAGAACAATCATGTATTAAAATTCCTTTCTTCTTGACATAATTTGCATCTAATTTCCCTTTATGTATTGTGTTCAAGTTAACCAGAATCCTCTGCCAATGATTAGGGCTGTCAATTAAAATGGTTAATCTATCACCTGTCTTTTAATTGAACTATCTAAATGAATATTCATATTACCAAATATTCTCTCTAACTATAATAGCCCTTTAATGTTAACTAGCCATGGTTGTTTTGTGTTCACTGCAGTTGAAGGAAATCTACCATCATTTCATATTGGAACATGAAACAGCAACTGATTTAGGATATAAATTAACACAAGACTTTTTTAAAGTTTAGTTTTTCCTTTACCTTTAAAGCAGGTAGCTCTGAGATTGCTTTTTTATGGTTGTTGTTATTACTGGTAGCATTTTAAGACATTTCCTTTAAAGCTGTACTGAAAACCTCAGACCAGAAGGCATCCTCTGTATTCTTGGACTTCAATTCCTGTCACCCCCAAAATAATATGGCCAATGGTCTTAATGATGTCATGAGGAGTGAAGGCATACTTTTTGATATGAGTAAAGTACATAAAATAGGCAAAACAAAACCAACCCTATTTTTTGCCTTTCTATTTAACGGCATAAGATAAAGGTGACCTGAATGAGTATTCAGTCTGAGATCAATTATGAAAGAATACCGTCATGCTCAAAACGCTACCCCATAAGGAAAAGGAAGATATCTAGAAAAATTGCCTATGGCATTCTAAAGCAACCCAGAGAGTTATTCTCAGCAAGGAGAATCAAAAAGCTCTGGGCAAAGGATTAACATTATAAAGGGAACATCTCATGGGAATAGAACACCTTCAGATAGACTTCTGTATAATCTTCGGGATAAGAACAAAGTAGGGATGAATTCTCAAAGATAAGATTCCTCTCAACACAGTCTCTATAACATTCTGGCAAAAAAAAGCAACAAGTTTCAAACTACTTACTGTTTGGATCTACATTTTCACAAAGTTCTGTTTTTGCTTCCCCGTTGGGCCTGTCACTAGTTTTGTGTGATAGTCTTGATGACATGGTGGCTGCTGTCACTACTGCTTTGAAGCTACGTTTCCGCTTTTGGACGTTTAGTTCAGGATGGAAGATGATGATGTAAACTTTTGGCATGTAAAGCATCCCCAGGGCCACTGAAGCACTTAAGTTCATAGATATTGTCAGGGTTGTGGTTTGTACATAGACCTAGGAGACAGAATAGGAAAAGACACCATTGAAAAACAAGGAGTAGGTGAGTGCAATAACTTCAACAATGGAAGTTTTATGCTATTCCAAACAGATCTTCTGTATTCCGAATTCTTCATCAATAACAATTTGTCAGATGCTCATGTTATTTAGGTTATGTGTGGATTTTTGCTCTACACAATCAATCTGAGGCCATAGTGACATAATTTCTTCTTAAACTTGGTACAAAATTAACTTGAAGTGAATTTACTCAATAAGTTTTCATAGTTGAAAAAATGTTTTTTTTATATCAATTATAAAATTAACACAGTTGTTTGAATTTTGGTTTAGACCAGGGATAGTCAACCTTTTTATACCTACTGCCCACTTTTGTATCTCTGTTAGTAGTAAAATTTTCACTAACCGCCCACCGGTTCCACAGTAATGGTGATTTATAAAGTAGGGGACAAAACCCCTACCGCCCACCATGAAAGCTGGAACACCCACTAGTAGGCGGTAGGGACCAGGTTTTACCACTGGTTTAGACACTGTCCAAATATACCTGTATTTTTCTAGTGAATAAGTTTTCAACTGACACTGAAACAGTTAAACAGTTGGTATTGAGAATTTTTTTTAAAAAAAGAGAACTATAAAAAACTTCACAAACAACAAACTAACAGAATTTGATCAGAGTGATTGACAAGGCTCTAATGAACTAAAATGCAGAGTTCCCTTCTTCCCTAAAAGTTTTTTCCCAGCCAATGCCTGTAGTTAAATCCAGCCCTTATTCTAAAACAATATGGATTCTATTAATGATTATTTGAGCAATATATCCTCTGAGAGGGCATTTGCTAATGACAAGAACTTGTGTGTGTGTGTGTGTGGGGGGCTCTTATGCAAGTCTAAATTCTGGAGGAAAAGTTCTTATGGGCATTCTCAAAACATAGCTGCTGTAATATGCATGGGCAGTCAAAAACCACGAGTTTCTAAGAACCATATAATTCAACCAAAGGGACCTTTAAGTCATTGAGTTCAAACCCTTTCTCAGTGAAGATATACAAATAAAGGCATTTCTGACATTTATAGCTTAGCAGTTGGGTCTACTGTAGAACTAAAGTTTTCCCTAACATTTAATTGAGTTGTTTTCTTTTAATTTAAGAATACTATTCTGTTACTTTACTCTGAAACAAAAGAGATTTTGCAATACATAGCATCCCTTCACATTTTAAAAGTACTATCATATTCCTCCATATTCGTTTAAATTTTCTCAATTTTTTATTTCTCACTGTAAAACTTAGTTTCTTGTTCTGTGGTCATCCTCATTGCCCTTCTCTGAACCTATTCTAGTTTCTCTGAATTTTTTCTTAAAAGGTAATGCCCCAAATGAACACTGTTCTATAGTGAGTGCTGCAGAATTTAGTGTATCTATTAGTTTTTATAATTTGGAAATTATGCTATGATTTATGCAATCTAAAATTGCTTTTCCATTTTTAGCAGCTCCGTCACATTAACTTCCAAGATCTTTTTACATCTTTTGCTAAACCATCTCTGTGTATTCTGCACCAATTTATTTGGTTTTTTTTTTTTAACTTAAATGAATAATTTTATGTTTGTTTCATTCTTTTATTTTCAATCCAAATTTGCTAAAAGCAATTTTTAGATTTGTTTTTATCTTTCACTATCTCACTTGATTTTGAGCCATCTACAACCTCATCAGCACTTTTCACCTTTTTGTCCAAGTTATTACAGTAAATATTTCAGATTCACAGGTTTAGGACCAAATCTGATGGAATTAAGCCAATACCTCCCCAAATTTGATGAGAAAATATTGATCAATAACTTTTTAAGTACAGTTCCCAAGCCAACAGTGATTTATATAACAGACATGATGTCCACCTATTTTATGGTGGTTTCTAAGCACACAATTTGCCTTTGTACAACAGTTACTCTCTGGTTTAACATTTGTTTGCAGTATTTGTTTTAATTTAATATATACACATGACTTTCTGCAGGATATCATGTTAAGCAATTTAAGCAATTTGAAAGAAACCAATATTAAACAACATGAAACTAAGTGTCCAAATACTCTAATTAAACAGTTATCACACAAAGATTTCAACATGTCATTTCATATAGGCCTGGAGAAAGATCCAGGACTCATTTAAATAAGGCTATTGTGTGTGTTGGGGGCGGGGAGCCATACAAATCTCTGGGTGGGCAGTTCCCAAGGAATGCTAAGTCTGCCCAATCATATGAGATGTTTAATTATAGGAGACAGATAACCCCCCCCCAAAATAATAATAATAATAATAATAATAATAATAATAATAATAATAATAATAATAATAATAATAAT